CTTGAATTGTGATTTAGAAAAGATGAATCGTGATCATCCAATGTATTTTGGTGAAAAGTTCTGTTTCGCATGGACCATAACTATTACTAATTGTTAGTTAATAAGTTAATAGTAATGTCTTTAATGGCTCATATTTGGACTTGCTTTTTGATCAGTTTATGTATTTGCGCAGGCAAAAGAATATGGGAGATGCATAGCAAAGAAAGTTCCTGAAATTGAGCATAACATGTGTTCAAAAGAATTCCATGCACTACGAGCATGCATGCAGACCACGGTATATATTTAGTTACCACGTGCATAGTCACATACAGAAGTCTGTGAAGTATTTCTGGGGCAAATTGCTCACAACTTTATAGTTCACCATCAAGTTCCTAATATTAATTGTATCTTTTGCTCTGAAAGATCAAAAAATTGTGAATTTGACTACAAGGATCACAAGACTTAGGGAGGCCGATTATATGTTTCAAAGATATGCTGCATTTAGGTTTGGTAAAATTTTACTAAACTCAGAGTATATATTGTTTGAATGGCCAGATATACATATTTCTGTTACTTATTTTTTGTCATTTTTTCTTTTTTTCTGCTACTGTTGGTTGCAGCCACTTTTTCAATAACTGAAAGAAGAGCAACTGACTAATTACTTGGGTGAAGCTGAAAGGGAAACGATAAAAATGCTTGGAAATATATTTTCTCAACCTCGCATGAATTTAAGTGGTTCAGGTGCTCTTTCTCACGTTTATATACAGCAGCCACCTCTACGGTGCAGCATTCCTGAAACACAAGGGCTATTTTATGATGATGGGAATAAATTACTTCTTTCCCCAACATCTGATCAGGTCGTTGAAAGTAGACCACTCGCTGTTGCTTGAGTTTATCTATCACAGAATCAAGGGAATTATTCACCTAGGATCTTTCTTTTCAGGTTTTATCATGGAAAATAGGTAACTCTACTCAAGTTGATCCACCTGATTCAGATTCAATTAGTGAAGGGCCAGTTCTATCCATTCGATATTCTCTTGATAAAAAGGTCATAGGGATTCAACGGTCAAATCATGAGATCCAGTTCAAAAATAGAGAAACTGGGGAGACCTTCAGTAGGAGATGTAGGCCGGATTCTGAGAGCATACTTGGCTTCTTTTGGACAGACTCTCCATATTGTGATGTTATATTTATAAAGACAAGGTAATTACCCCTAATTCCTTGAGCATTGTGAAAGTGTAAAGTTTACTATTTACTAGGGGTGGCAAATGGGGTGTTGGGTCGGGTCGGGTCAACATTGACCCGGCCCATATAAGCTTCCCAAATCTGACCCATTTAATAAACGGGTCATGTTACCCAACCCATTTATTAAATTGGAAACCCGGCCTAACCCGTCTAACACACAATGACCCATTTGCTGTTTGTTTTCAAAGCTTACATTGTGGATAATCTTAAAAAATGTAGAGATTCAAAATAATGCCACCTTAGTCCTTATAGGCTGGTTCTTATACAAAGTGACTGGCATAATGTATTGGGATGACGAATTTACCACCATGGGTGGCACTCTAGTAAGAGCAAAGGAATTGTTTGAAAATATAGAGGCACTGAGTTGTGTCAGATTGCAGAATTTATATATATATATATATGTATATATATATATATTATATATATATATATTATATATATGTATATATATTATTAGTATAGAGAGAGAGAGAGAGGAGGAAAAGACTCTATCAACTTAAGTTGATGTCCACCAAACTTCCTAGGCCACTCATTTATTAATATAGAAAAAATTCATATCATGAGATCGCCTAGGCGATATGCAGTGGCTAAAAAGTTTGGTGGATACTTTTTTGGCTATCACTAGTTGACAACAAGTGTTCTCTCTCTCTCTCTCTCTTCTGCTGGTCTCTCTATATATATATATATATATATTATATATATATATATATATATATATATATTATATAATATATATATATATTGGAAGTGTTCGCTAATGGTGACGCCTTAGATAATGCATCAAGGAACGCAGCCTGAAAATCCATGGTTTGAGCTATATTGTGGATGATCCGTTCCGTTATAACTTGAAATCTACATATTCTAAAACCCCAACAGCACCAAGTTTGGGTGAGCCGCATCGGCGTTTGACCTCCCGTCGAGGCATGTGAAAAGTTCCTATTCATTGAAAACGCGTTATAATTGATACGAGTGGATGAAGTTTTTGTCAAACGGACCCGACGGTTCACACCGCAAACTTGGTGTATTGGAGTTTTAGAATATGTAGATGCAGTTTAACGGGCGGATCAATTCACAATGTAGCTCAATCATTGTGATTTTAGGGCGCGTCCTTCAGATGATTATCTAAAGGTGTCACCCGTTAGGAAACTTCTGCCCATATATATATATATATATATATATATATATATATATATATATATATATATATATATTATATAATTTTTATATGCAAGGTTAGACAATCCTAGGATTGTCTATAGTCATTTTTAATATGACCTATTATAGCTCTGGCACCAAAAGCGTCAAATTCACCAAGGACAAAACTATAATTACCAAAACAAAATCCCCAACCTCCCCCTTATAATTTCCATGTCTGGGGTTTCCTCCAATCAATCCCTCACTTTATCGAGAGAGTTACAGCACTGAGAGGCGACCCAAAGACCCTAGAGATGGTGAAGTACCTCAAATCAAACAAGGCAGCGATCCTCCGCCAAGGCCTCTTCGTTGGCTGCAAGAGTTGTTACCTTGCTCATAATAGCTGGAACCTGGCCCATTAAACGGGTAATGAGTTGGGTTAACCCGAATTAACCTATCTAATAAATGGGTCAACTTGGGTCAACCTGTTTATGACTCGAACCCATATAACTCGAATCGTACCCATTATTAACAGGTCAGGTCGGGTTGGTGGTTCGGGTTATGAACTGCCACCCCTACTATTTGTTGAAACCGAGTCCCAGGTAAATCTTATTGTTTATATGTGCTTCTCAGAAGCGTAGTTATTGTTTAACCTAGACGTGTCTAGGTATGTTATTGTCAGTGTTTTCAAAAGCGCGCGCCTCATCGCGCCTCATGCGCCTTACGATGCGGGGCGGTGACGAAGCGCCCAACATCTGATGTAGCAGCGCCTTTTGCGCCTCGCGTACATCATTACTTTGTGTAGGGTGCATATAGTACATATGCTCATATAGTTTTATTTGTTAACATTTCAATCGAGTCTTTATACTTGATATTCCATATCCCAAAAAACAAAATAAATCCATTAGGTCTTTTTAATAGCCTTCAATTGAGGACAATTATTAATCCTTTGCTTGGATATTAATCTTGATTTAACATTTGATTTAAAAATTTATGAATTTTGCTACTATGTTGGGTGTTAGCATTACAAATTAAGGCATTATATTGTGATTTTGTAGTAATATATTATTTATCATTATATTTTTCATGTAAATTCTAAAAACATGTTCTTTCACGCTTGATTACATATATTGAAAAATTATGTGTGCGGTGTGCGCCTCGCATCACTCGGGCGTGCGCATCGCGTTGCGCATTGCGCATGTGCGCGTAAAGATGCTTTGCGCCCCGCATTGCGCTTCGCGCATTGACAACACTGGTTATTGTTCCATCTGGTATCTTTTTCTGATATAACAAGACATTGTCAATGCTGTATTCAATCTCTTGTTTTAAGGTAAGCATTCATGACTTTGGTACTATATTTGGGAGCTGTAATTTTGTTGTTATGAAGATGGTTATCTGACTGAGTTAGCTTAACCTTTGTCACCCCTGCTGATACAAAGAAATTGATACAACATTCCTGAACCTAATAAAACAAATAAACTGTGATGATCATATATCATAGGTATTTATTTATGGATATTTTTCAATAAGGTATTCCAACAGTCTTATGTACTCCAATGATCCTATTGCAGCGGTATTGACTTACTTTCTTATGAACCTGAATTGAATACCCTGCGCTTGGTTGAAGCTAAAAAGTTCAACGTGAGCTGGTATATTTACACACATGAAAGTCGGATGGTTCTTCTTGCCTCTGGGATGCAATGCACTATTTTCTATGGTTTTCAGGTATTCTGGCTATAAGTTTGGTTTTTTAATTTTAATGGTTATGCTTCTCTGCCATTCTCTTGGTTATTGGCTGTAAACTTCTGTTGTAAAACCTGATTGTTTTTCCCCCTTCAATTTATTATTGTGCTATGTACGAAAGAAACTAATCCATAATTGGCGTTTTCAAGTTTTATCAATTATATGTGAATATTCTTTAGAAATTCTTTTAAGATACTGTTGTATGATTCTATCATCAGGAAGTATACTTGAAGCCATGTGTCCAAACACCTCCTTACAAGATCATTTCTTTTGATAGTTTACTATTTGGTCATGTAATTTGGTGCATTGCTTAGTGACATCTTTTATATAAAAGCAGGTATTGATAGTGACATCCACAAAACCTCATTGCCCCCCTCTTGATGGATTATTTCAATTATTAGCCTCTATGCAACCATAATTCTTGCTGGTTAAATTGTATTATCAGTATAACCATAATGAAATATTTTGCAACTTCGTGAGGAAGCACATATTTAGAATTTCAACCCATTGCTTTTGTTTCTTTTCTCAACATGCTCTCTGTTTTCCCTCTGTGTATAAGACTTATTCTCTGCATCTCAACCTATTAAAACAGAGTTGGTGGCCTCAGTTTGTAATGTTGATGTCATTCTACGCAATCCTTAGTGTTATATGCATATGCACACAGTTATTGCTTGTCAATGTTGAAAATAGCGATAACACATAGCGTAACGCTTACCTCCGGTTAACGTAAAACACAAAATAGTGTTACTCTTAACGTAGGTTAAATAATTTATTATTATTTAAATATTTTATAGATATATAACATTAAAAATAAAAAAATATGAATAATCATTGCAATTCTCAAACATATCATCATAAAATTATTATCACAAATCAATATATCATCACAATTTCACAACAAAATCAACCATGTTTGCCTTAACAATCAATCCAAAAGCATAAAATACTTCAAGTTTGAAACCAAATCATTGACGTTTTAACAAAACAAGCATTTCTAAGTCATAAGTTTTAATAATCCTAGAAAATGAGTTGAAGGAAGAACTGAAGAAGAAGACGGAAGAATCTGACAAAATGGTTTTTTTTTTATCTGGAGGCTCTGGAGGCGACGACAACAGGCCCTTTAGGGTTTTAGACTTGAATTTAACTTATGAAAAGTGGGCTCCACCCACTTAAACTCAATCACAGCCATTGAATCATTTAAAAAGCAATCCCAGCCATTGAACAATATAACTTAAGCTACAAAGCGCCACGACGACGCATTACATAGCGTACGCTATGGCTAAAATAGTGCACGTTATATTGTCCGTGCGCTATTTTCCAACGCTATGTGGCGGTAGGGCAGCGCTACGTTACGCTATGTGCTACGTTACGCTATGCGCTACGGAACGCGCTATTTTCTACACTGTTGCTTGTGTTTCTTTATCTATTTAAATCTGAAAGAAACACACATCATGATAAAATGTGTTTTTGGCGTTATATTATGTGTAAGGTTTGGAATGAATAAAGTATCACAGGCTGTTTTAGTTCCTTTTGGGAATTCTTATGCAGCGGCATATATTTCTGCCTACAAATAATATTCAGAAAAAGTAGCATATGTGTGAAATTGTTTTCGTTGGGACATTCAGGGCTCTACGCAAATTATCTTGTTAATCTTGTTGTGAGGTTCTAGTTATTTGTTTCAAATGCATGTTCTGGTTCTTTCTTTAAATATTTCCCTTTGCTTTTTCCTCAGTTTTCTTCTGCTGAGGTTGTTCGCTTGCCTAAATTTGAGATGACATTGTGCAAGCCTGAGGCAAACCAGAAACCTGTTCTTGCTGCTGAGGATGTCCATATTGTCACTGTGTAGGATTTACGTTATTCTCCAGCTTTTCTTATGGTTAATATCATTATATTATTTTCTTATTATCAATATGTTATATGTATTTGCAGGTATGGTAGGATATATTGCCTACAGGTTGATAGGGTTGGCATGATCCTAAATTTGTATAGGTTCTATCGTGATGCTGTCGTGCAACAGGTAGGACACATAAAAACTCATCATTATTTTAATACTCAGATTTTTCCTTGGTGAAAGATATTTCAGGTGATCTGATGGCCGTTTTATGCTGTATTGTCAAATTAAAGAAACAAAAATATAAATAAATAAATAAATCTTTTTTTTCAGTGGTTACATCTGATCCCAGTAGAAGTTTCTAGCTATATTAACACTCAGACCTATCTTTAGTAGAAAGATACAGCACATAAGAGTTGTTTATGCTTTATAGATGAATTTAATAAACCAGAAAAATGTGTTGACATTTTCTATCTACAAAATTGTTTATGCCTACAATATGATATGGTTTAATTCTTTGTTATGAGCTTTATTGCACTGTGGAAATATGACATATCTCTAGTCAGTACTTAAATGGTTATGTTAAGAGGAGTTTGAAGTTCTCATTTGCATCTTAAGGGCGTATAGGTAACTATATTCCATAAGATCTTTTGCTATTCCTAAGCAACTATCTGCCTTTGCAGGGGACTCTGCCTATTTATTCAAGTCGTATAACAGTCAGTGTGGTGGATAATGTACTTCTTGTTCATCAAATAGATGCAAAGGTTGTTATACTGTATGACATTTTTCTAGATTCCCTAGCACCAGTATCTGCTCCTCTTCCTCTCCTACTGAGGGGACCTTGTTGTAACAAGCAAATAGATAGCGAGCAAGGAAACTTGAACAATGCTTATGGAGGGATGATCTACGGAGATAGTTGGAAGTTTCTTGTTCCAGACCTTATTTGTGATGTTGATAATGGCATGTTATGGAGGATATTCTTGGATCTGGATGTGAGTTACTGTTTTATTTTATCTTTATTGAAAGTGGATTTATGATAAGTTCTATATTAAGATAGATTCTCTCCTCGGCCTGCAGGCTATTGCTGCCAGCAGCTCGGATATTCCGTCCCTTCTAGATTTCCTTCAGCGACGAAGGTTGGAGCCAAATAAGGTAGATTCATTATCATTCACGTGCAACATTGCCAAGTTGATATCCATAACGAGGGCTCAAAGTCTGGGATCTGGCATTAACATCATTTATTTCCCCTTTCAGGTTAAGCTGTTGTGCCTGGCAATTATGCGGACAATTATCCTTGAAAGGAGACCTATATCTATCGTCTCAAGAGCGATAGATGTACTTGTTGCTTCTTATTCTCAATTGGTTAAATTGGGAAATGCTCTTGGAGGTGGAGATAGACGAGCTTCGGAAAAGTCCCAATATTCTGGTGTCCAGCACACTATCAGCTCTGGGGCGTTGCCTCAGGAAGCTAAATCTGTTGCTCAAGGTATAAGTGAGTCTCAAGAATCAGTTGAAAGATAAATGAAAAAAAGGAGACCCTTGTCAATCCTTCAAAATCTGCTACTATTAAAGCATTTATATTTCAGGTTCTAAGTTTGATGGAGATGCAAATTTGGAAAGGCATGAAAAGTCATTATCAGGCGATATACAGGACATACAAGATAGGGAGGCTATAAATAATATGAAAGGTCAAACCTCGGGTGTTAATTTGGGACAATCACTGATGGAGTCTGGTGTTCAGCATAATAACAATCCAGTGGAAGCGTCTGTTTCTCCACAAATGGGTTCACAGAATGTGAATGTAGCAATTTCTCCTGATGAAATGTACCATTTTATCCTTGCTGTTGTAGAGGATGAAATGGTTGGTGACCCTTCATACTTGGTTTCTGTCATCATAGAATTTCTTCGGAGGTATGCTGTTGGAAAATCTCTTTGAGTTTTTTGAGTGAACGCAGGAAAAAAAAAAACACCTCTTAAAACCTAAGTTAATGGTGATCTCTCTTTTCCTATTATTCTTTTAGTGTTTCGAAGGAAATTTTTAAAGTCCATCCAAATGTTTACGTGATGACAATCCAACTGCTCACCCGCAGCAATCGCGATGCTGAACTTGGGTTGTTCATTATAAACAAGGTAAACACGCCATTTTAATTTACTAATTGGCTGAAAAGTAATGGCCTTTTTGAAAACTTTTGTTAGTCTAATTAAAAGATTCAATTGAAAGCTATAGAATGTCAACCATATTCAGCAGTTATACTGCCTTATATCACATTTTTCAAGATGCAACTGGTGTAATAAGCTACTATGGATACTTGGATTTGCTAGTTCCCTTCTTGATTTTTGTTATTGAACACACCTTAACGTTTACTGTTAATAACCATGTAGCTGCGATAATGTTTAATAATAATCTTTTACTGTCATTTTATATAGTCAAGCAATTAAAGAGGATAGTATTAAATGGTGACAAGTGATAGAGAACAACTTTTGAGGGCTTCTTCTTTCTACTGATTATCCTATAAACTTTTTCTTAAAACTATAACGGAGAAGGTGGAGCAGGGCATGGCATTTAATTTGCAGAGATATTCTATAAGATGATCCTATCTTTTCCCTGCCATTTATTCCTTAGTTTTTAGTGTTTGTTCAAATGTTTTTTCTTCTCTGTTTAGAACCCATGTTTAAGACACAGGAACAGGTACATACATTAGTAAAAAGATTTGACAGAAAATTTGAAGTCTCTAAATTGAAATGCAGACTCGATCACAAAAGACCCAAAAAAAAAGAGGCAAATTAAAAAACAATAACAGTAATGAATGGTGATGATTACAAAATTGGGTGAGAATGGCCAAGGGATACTGTCTATGAAACTTTTGTATATGTATTGCAAGGTTTTTGGTTTGAATACTTTTCGTTTGCTTGTTGGTAACTCATGTAATGTTCATTTTGCATTTGGAGCAAAAGGCTGTATCAAAGAGATTCGAGATTATTACTCCGCATTGCAGATATAAACTACAAGCTGTAATAGTTTCTTAAAATAGGAAAATGATGCTCAATTGATATAACTGAGATGTTTCTTATATCGTATAGTGTTTAAGTGTTTTATACTTGAAGGTTTATGTCTTAGCGTATATATTGCTATCTATTGCTAGTGGGGAGAAATGTTTCTTTCTTTCAACTTAACGATATGTATACGAGTAACATAAATCCATTATTCCTTGAATTGTGCAAATTCAATAACTATATTTTTTGTGACGCCAAAATTTTCCCTCAAGAAAAGAAATAAAAATCTATTGGCTTGTTGCTCCTGCAGATTATTGAACCTTCTAAAGAAGCTGCTCTGCAACTGTTAGAGTCTGGCCATGATAATTTGCAGACTAGGAAACTGGGAATAGAGATGCTTAGACAGCTGTCTCTGCATCATGATTATGTCAATATTCTGCTACAAGATGGACACTATCTTGAAGCTCTTCGCTATGCGAGAAAAAATAAGGTATCTTGACATTACACATGCATGCATGCAAGAGGCAACTTACATTGAAAAGAGTTGTCTGTTAGTTGTATTTCTTTGCTTTCTTGTTTCCTTACCCTTTTGTATGTCTTTGTACACAATCATGCTAGTGTCCTTGAGGGTTGTTAATAGCTAAACCACAATGCAGGTAATTACAGTGCGGCCATTGTTATTCCTTGAAGCAGCACTTGCCTCCAACAATTCACAGCATCTTGCAGCGGTGTTGAGGTTCTTTTCTGACTTCACTCCTGGCTTTAAGAGCACATCAGAATTCACGAGGTTTCACCAGATTCTGACTGAAATGTATTGAAGGGGCTTCCATTGCCAACTATAAACAATGTTTACTTGTTCCTTTGTCTGGACTACACGTTACAGTTCCGAGGTTACTCAATGGCAATCCCTCTGGAGATTTGTGGAGAGTTTTCACTTTTTTCTGCTGGATTCAGCTTTTGTAGATTTACTCCCATATTTTGTAATTCTGGGGACACTTGGCTTTTGATAAGGGGAATAAAGTTGTGAAAATTGAATGTTGCGTCAATTTTATGATCATCTAATAATCCCACCAAGTACTAAACATGTAACTTTGTGCATGTGTATTCTGTTGTCTTTGCACCATTACGTATGTCTGATTGTGTCATTTTCAGTTGTATGATTGTCTGATACGTCTATATATCATATGTTGTTATGAAGGAAGTGAGAGAATTTTAATGTGTGGACGGATGGGCGAGAAAGTCCATGAGTAGAACCGTATCTATCGTTGCTACTAGTTTGCTATCATGACTGACAAGGCGTCAATTAGCTCCTTACCCGTGTGATCAAAAGTTGATGTTTTTCGTTTATCTTCATCAGATAAAATCTAGTCGATATCCTTATATTTCATCCCCCTCTTTTTCTACAAGGAGCATTATAGAGATTTTGTCATAGGGGGCTGTTTGCAATTTCTATAAAAGAAAGAGGTGGGTGTTCAAAATTTAATTTCCTTGTATTTCTGTAAGAACTCGTAGAAAAAGTTCATAGAACTTAAAGACCATTTTTTGCTATTTCTTTGTTCAGTTCAAAATATGAAAAAGTTCTTAACTTTATAGAAAATAGGTATTTTTTTTGTTGGATATCACTTTAAAATAGGTTTCTAACAATGCCCATTGGAAATCACTTGGGGTGGAGAAATAAGGTACGGACGTGCTTAATTATTTTTAATACAAATGTCAGATTTCTAGACAATTTCGGGTAGAAAGTTGTCTTTTATAAAATACCCATATTTTCCCTACTTTATAGAAAACATTTCTAACTTTTTATTTGAACCAAACACAATTTATAGAAATCTATAAAATCTATTATTTACAAAGATGCCATCGTCAGGTGTTTTGCCAAAACTTTTCTATAAAATGAGTGAACCAACCCATTGTACTCTTTAACTCCTCAATAATAAATTTCCGAAATTCATGCAGGTTTTGTGAAATTTTACTACTCTTAACTCCTCAGTAATAAATTTTCGAAATTCATGCAGGTTTTGTGAAATTTTACAAAGCTGACGCAGGTTGCAAAGTAAATAAAAAAATTGGAAGAACTCTTTTTGTGGTGAAGAGAATCAAGAAGATAACTAGATGATTGTTAGATTGGTAAAGATAAAAGTTAGAAAATTTTGGGGAAAAGCTCTAGTATATTGATATTATATTATGAATAAATAATGAAATAAATTATAAGAAACATATTTCTTGTAATAGGATGTTTTCTTTTGCTTGGTTATTTCTTAAAAATAAGAAAATATATGAGATGAGATGAGTTGTCATTATATTATTGGATGATGTGACCCACACTTAAGGAAATTGTTTTCCTAGTTTTTTGGGAGGAAAACAAAGAAATGAAATGTTAATGAGATGAGATGAGTTGTCACAATCTTATTGGATGATGTGAGTAATTTTTAAATATGAGATGAGATGAGTTGAGTGATGTTGTGGATGAAAATAATATTTTATTAGATGTGGTGGATGTGATGGATGAGTTGTTGGATGAAAATAATATTTTATTAGATGTGATGGATGAGTTGTTGGATAAAAATAATATTTTATTAGATGTTGTGTGTGAGTTTTAGGGATGAAAATGTGTGAAATTGTAATTTTTTAGTTTTTCTTGGTTTGCATTTCTATTTTTTTGGTTTTTTAGGAAATAACCAAACAGCCCCTCATCTGAATGAAAGAGAGAGAGAGAGAGAGAGAGAGAGAGAGAGAGAGAAACACGATTTAGGGGCTGTTTGGATGCCTTTAGAAAACTAGAGTATTTATAACACAAAATAGAAAGTGGTTATCCACCTCACCACTTTTTATTTGAGTGTTTACATTGTTTGGTTATGAATCTTTGTGAATCCTAAAATAATAATATTACATTGTTTGGATAGTATAATGTAAACTAGAATATTTATGACACAAAATGGAAAGTGGTTATCCACCTCACCACTTTCTACAAGGTTTTGACTTTATTATTATTTTTTTGGACACATTTATGACATTGTGTAAGCTTTCCAACAAAATCACTCCTAATTTTGGTGATTTTGCTTTCGGTGACACCTCATCAAAAGGTGTAAGCTTTTCATGTAGGGGCTGTTTGGTTCGTTTCCTTGATATAGGGAAATGCAATTCCATGTAAAGAAATATAAGTTTAGATTTTTCCAAATTTTTCCAAGAAATAGATTGTTTTGCTTTGGTTCGCACATAAAAAATGGTGAGAAACCAATGTATTTATTTTTCTTGTGTTTGGTTCGCATAGAAAAAAAGGAAAACTTTTGTAAACAAAGCAGAGAAGGAAAAAAAATCTGACGTGACAGAGTTTTTATCAATTTCATTCGGTTGGGGAAGGAAATCGGAGAGGGAAAAAAATCTGAGCTGGCGACGATTTCAACAGAGTTTTCCCTCTTCCATCCGAGCGAACCAAAGCGGCACAAAGAAATGGACGGAAACAAAAAAAACTGACGTGGAGGGCTAAAAATCTGACGTAGAGGGGTTTTCTGAGTTTTCCACCCCTTATAATAGCGAACCAAACAGCCCCGTAAAAGAGAATTTAAACAAACAATGTAAAGTGATGAAAGCTGACATTAGGACCCACTTTTTTATACTTTCCATCATTTTATATGGTAAAAACATACAACCAAACAGCCCCTTAGCAAACTCTTTCATTTTATGTACTTAGTTATAAATGCGGGTGGAGATCAAAGGTTCCTCTCTTTCCAAATCGACAATTCTTTATCACTTTATTCTTTATTCTAAAACCCTAATTCCTTTTCCTTCGATTCCTCAAAACCCTAATTTGCTCTCCCCCAATCTGCGACAATGGCTTCGGGCAAGCGGGAGAACGATGCCCGAGTAGTGGATCAGAACCAAGAGGTGAATCTAGGGTTTTAGTGGAAAAGAAAGAAAGAAAGAAAAAGAATCTTGTTTACTTTGTGTTTTCTAAATTTCCATTTGCAGGTTGATGCTGCTGTTCTCCAGTATGAGAATCAAAAGCTCGTTCAGCAGCTAGAAGTTCAGAAGAGCAAGATGCACGATCTCGAAAAGAAGCTCAAGGACTTGAAAGATAAGCAGGATTCTTATGATCAGACCTTGATGACGATGAACAGAATCTGGAACCAGGTCAGCTTTCAACTTCTCAATTGAAGTTCATTTCTTGCCCTAGATTTGTCTTTTCAATTTTTTTCTCAATTTAGTTCAATTAGCATGAAATTTTAGTTGGTGGACGATTTGGTGCTGCTCGGAATTAGAGCTGGGGGCGATCCTGAAACTTTACAAGCATTGGACCATGATGATTTCTCCAAAGGTTCTCAACGATTTTATGTGTGCGTGTTCTTTTTGCTTCATAGAATTTCATTGTTCTAAGTTTTGTGCCCGAATCCTTCTCTCAATGTAGAATTACTTGAATCATGTTCTCCGGAAGAGACATTTCTTTGTAGGCTCTTGAAAGCTGGCCCTTTCGAGAGAAATGGAGAAAACGGAATTTTGAAGCGTATTCAAGAAGCTCTTGCTTTGCGACATTCACACACTATGAGTGTGATGAAACAACTTGAGGAGACTATAGCGGCACAGAGAGCTAAAACAGATAGCTTAGCATTGGCTTCACAAGGGAGTTTGACTTCAGAAGGTTTGGGAGCTACTTAATGAAGTATCTATTTTGCCAATCCGCATTATTGCATTTTCTTTCTCATTTCTGTTGTCATTTTCTTTTTTTTTTTATATTGTCTCAGATTTTGATTTGACGTTAAAGCGATAGTTGTCTTGACTTTTTGTGACAGATGCTATTGTGCAACTTCGCAAGTTTGATGACTCTATGAGGGATGTGGCGAATAATCTGCGTCAAGCAATTGATATCCTCCACCAGAAGCATAGACAGTATGTAGATGACATAAATACCCATCTTGATAGCAATACAAAGGACCAGACTGAAATAAAGCGACTTTCAGGTATGTACACTACTCTATTGATTTATGTGCATCATTCCATTTTACTCGGGTAGCTGAACTTTTACTTACCTCCTTAATGCCAGTTGAAGTTTTGAAAGTATTATATCAAAGTCGATAAATGATTATTTTCTTTTGCTAGATCCTTAGTGAAGTCTTGGGAGTATGCATTACAACAAAGTATGTAAATAAGTTATTTTCTTGGGGAAAATGCTTTCAGCCCCCAAAAGCTAAGGAAACGTGCTTCCCACCCCCAAGACTTTGTCAACGGGTGTTTTACCCCCAAAAATAAAGATTCTGTTCTCTAAGCCCCAAAACACAAAATCCAAAAGATTAAAATATGTGAAGATCATAATACCTTTCTCTTTCTCTTTCTTTTTTTATTAAATATGATGATGATTATTTTATTATTTTTATTTTCTCTCTCTTTATCATGATGTACTGAGATGATAGTTGAAATGATTAATGAGGATTATTTTATTATTTTTATTTTTTATTATTTTTGTTATTTGTATTGGGAGATTGTTAAAATTACGGGTTAATTGTTAAGGTTACGAGTTAATTGTTAATGTTACGGGTCAATTGTTAAGGTTATGAATCATCTCTCTCTATCATGATGTTATTTTGATGATATTAAAATGATTGAAGAGGATTATTATTTTATTATTTTTGTTTTTTATTCTTTTTCGTATTTTTAGAATATTCATTATTAAGGATAATGGTTGGTTGTAAAGGTTATGCATTGATTGTTAAGGTTACGGGTTGGTTGTTAAGGTTACGGGTTTGTTGTGTAGGTTATGGGTTTGTTGTGTAGGTTACGGATTTGTTGTTAAGGTTACGAGTTTAATTGTTAAGGTTACGAGTTTAATTATTAAGGTTACATGTTTAATTGTTAAGGTTACGGGTTTAATTGTTACGGTTACGGTTTATTAATTGTTAATGTTACGGTTTAATTGTTAAGGTTACGGGTTTAATTGTTAAGGTTACGGGTTTAATTGTTAAGGTTACGGGTCAATTGTTAAGGTTATGGATCCCTTCTCTCTTCTCTCTCTCGTAACCTTAATAATTAAACCCGTAACCTTAACAATTAAACCCATAACCTTAACAATTAAACATGTTAAGGTTACGGGTCAATTGTTAAGGTTATGGATCCCTTCTCTCTCTCGTAACCTTAACAATTAAATCCGTAACCTTAACAATTAAATTCGTAACCTTAACAATTAAACCGTAACCTTAACAATTAAACCCGTAACCGTAATAATTAAACCCGTAACTTAACAATTAAACCCGTAACCTTAACAATTAAACCGTAACCTTAA